GCCCCGCCAGTCAGCGCCCGGCGGGTGCATGCTGGGGCACCAAAGCGAGCTGGCCAATCACAGCGCAGCGGCGCGCCCGGCAGTTGTCGCCTCTCTCCTTATAGTCTCTCTATGCCCATAGCGCGCGATCGAAGGCGAGGCTCCCGGAGAATTTTGGCTATGCGCGGCAGTCTTCCCGTGAAAAGCCGACCTGTTCTGGCCCGGCCCTGGACGAGGGGGGAGGAGGTGGAGAGTGATGCAGCCAGCGGCCGTTGCACCGGACCATCACAACAATCTCAAGCCGCACTGCAAGCCCCATCATATCGGGCCAGCTCTTGCTGATATCGCCCCACACATTAGGCGACGGCGTGTTTTTCTAGATATTCCCAGAAAGAGATGTGTTTGTCGCTCTCTGGCTGTATGCCTCCTTTTAATTTCTCGTGTGTGTGGCTTTTATATACCTTTCGTCTCCAGCTCCACAGGTCCTTGTGCCTGGCGTATGCCTTGAGGTTCGCCGCCGCCACGGCCAAGGGGAGCGAAAGAGGAGACGTTATCCCGGCTGCGCATCTCAAAACTGGTCCAGCTGGGGGGGGGGCTCAGGTGCGCGTGGGGCGTACGGCGTACCTCCTTTCAGCCCCCCCCCTCTCTCCGCTCGTTTTCCCCGCCCCCTGCGGCGGTCCGATTCGCACGCCCGGCTCCTCGTCAAGCTATCGTCGTCAGGTTGAGGCTGCGGCTGGGGCTGTGTGAAGCTCTGCCGAGCGGATAAGGTCAACAAACTCGACGCAACATACGACGGGCCTAAGTGCACAAAGAGGGGGGGGGGGATTTTATTACTGACTTGTGAAATGCACGAGCCTGTACCTTTCTTTGTGCGTATGGTGGAGTCTTTCATGTGCGAGAAAATAACATGGGTTGTTTGCTGCACCGGAAAGACGATGAAATAACTTCAAGGGGGGTTTGCTGACAATTTTCAAGCCCTTGTGGACAAAACGATTGTCCGTCCCTGGAAAAGGCATTAGTTTAAGGTGCAAATTGTTCATAACCTTCGAGAGTTTGTTTTCAAAGCGGAATTGAAAATTTGCACCCCCCCCTTTTCCTATACCTTTGTGTTTTCGTGGCCCTTTAACTCTTCTGCGGTTCTGCTCCATTTTCCCCCTTTTACGTCTGCCAATATTTGAGGCGACCGGCGGCGCTTTGGGCGGCGGCAGGTGGCCAAATGAGAGGGCCTTGTCGGGCGGCGGGGCAGGTGGTGGCCCAAACTGGGCCGGTCTGGACCAAATCAGACCGGGTTGGACGCGAGCGAAGCACGCCTGAACAAACCCCAACCCCGCCCTGTCGCGCGTCGACAGATGCCTTGAGTTCTCCTCCTGCAAGCAGAAGGCAACAGCAGGTGAACGAAATCGCGTCTGGAATTCGCTATATACAGAGAGGTCCGGCAGCAGGTGAGCGGGCGGCAGGTGAGAGGGCACCGGATGCGCGCAGATGTGCCCCTCAGGAGCCTGGAGCAACCGGCTGCTGGAGAAGGAAGCCATTGTCGACACCGGCCAATTCACCCCGCTGCTGTGGACCTACTACCACTGCGAAAAAAATCAGCACAGATACCAAATTATTTAGTAAATTCTCACTGGAAATGCAAGTGTGTGCATGTCGCTCACCTGCAGGTGAGCGACATTCACACACTTGAATTTCTAGTGCTTCTGTGACCAATTACAGGTGACAAGGAAACTGCTTGTATTTTACTGCTGCCGCACGCTAAAAAATAAGAATGAAATTTTTTTTTTCACAGCCCTTTATTTAAACGGCGCTAAGAAAAGAAAAGAAAATTTCCTGTCCCAAATGAAATGTCTGCAATGTGCCTCCCTGCTCTTTAGCCAGATTCTTTTCAAAAAACTTTCCCCAAAATTGGAGTTCATTTACGAATCAAAGGGATGTAGATGAATTCTCACATTCATAAAACCGTTTTGGAAAAAAAGGGAAAATAAAAAGCGTTTGCCGTTTTGCGTTTGTTTGTCCGGATTATAATTTGCTGCAGATGATGGGCTGTCCGGCGCTGGCCCGTTATCTCTCGCCCCGCTCTCTCTCTCTCTCTCTCTCTCTCTCTCTCTCTCACTCACTCACTCACTCACTCACTCACTCACTCACTCACTCACTCACTCTCTGTCATGTCCCCCTCTCTCCCTCCTTGTCGCACCGGCACGGCCTGGACCCGCTTGGCCACCTGCCGGTGGCGCCCTCGTGCGGGATTCTGCAGAACTCTTCTGGAGGAGAACTCTCTGCAAACGGCTGGAGCTGGAGGGACGCACACTCGCCTTTACGCCCCTAAAGGCGTGGGGGGGGGGGGGGGGAGGTTCTCGCAGCGGACCGACCGTTGCAGTCCACGTGTCGCGGCCCGCATCATCGTGCCATGGCCATGTTACGGTTACACTGTTCAAAAACGCAATGTATTCCGCGACTCAACAGTAAAATGTGTGCGCTTTGTGAGCTTATATAGTATAATAAATTATTTGAGCGGTCGTGCATACGCGCGTCATCCAAAGGTGAACCTGGAGTCCGCGCGTGAAGTTCTCCACGTTCTGCAGTTTCTTTTGTTGTCATGACGACGACTGCCTCTGCTAATTTTCATGACGATAAGGAAACGGCATTACTCGATTTCTTATATTTGTTTCCCATCGCCGCAGTTCCATTAAAAGCAGGACTTCAGAGGTACTGTCCCCTAAGCCGTCGAGCATCGTGGCGTTGGTCGGCGTCTCGCCGCCTGCTGCTGCATCCCCCCATCATTTTGGTCCATATGATGGCGTCGCGGCCGTCGCGGCTCGGGGTCAGAGCCGCGGCGGCGTCAGTCACAGCGGCAACAGCGCGCGGCCGCGGAGCCCGCGGTGCGCCCTCCAAGCCGCGAGGGAGAGAGAGAGAGTGAGCAGGAGCGAGAAGTGTGAGCGAGAGAGGGCGAGGGAGTGAACGAGAGAGAGAGGGAGTGTGGGTGTGAGTGAGCAAGGAAGTGAGTGAGTGTGCGTGTGAGCGAGAGAGACATCACGCGTCGTCCTCTATCTCGCTCTGACGCCACAAGTGTTGGCGCTGCGTGGGCCGAGGGGGCCGCCGCGCCGCGGGAAGGGGGGAAGGAGAGGTGGGGGAGGACCACGGCGACGACGACGACGACGCCGACGAGGAGGGCGAGGGGCAGCAGGTCCCACACACGCCTGGCGCGGGGCTCACCCACACACTCGCACACACCCCCACACACGGACTGTGTCAACAAAGCTCACGCACACGGAACGGATACCCCCCTCCCCCCTCCTGCAGGCTTCATTCAAACTCCACAATGCTGGCCCCCTCCCCCCTTCTGGACCACGCCGCCGCCGCCCACTCGGCCGCCGCCTCTCGCGTTCAAAAGACCGAAGGAACAACGAGCAAAGCCCCGAGCGAGGCATCATTACCGTCGTTAACATTCTCATCATTATTATTGTTATTATTATTTGATCGATATCATTATATCCCCATACTATAACATTGACGAGGCGTGGGTCTCGTTTTTATTATTTTTAATAAATTCAAATCGTGTGAAATGGGTCGCCCCAGGCCGTTTGTACGTGACGCGGCCGCTCGCTCGCTCGGCCGTCCTCGCGTCACTCTCTCGCTCTCTGTCTCTCTCTCTCCCTCCCTTGCTTATTCTCCTTGCTCGCTCTTTCCGTCTGTCTGTCTCGATTAGTCGGTTATCACAAGGGGCCGGGGCCGCCGCCCCGCTCTCTCTTATCGACTCCTTGTCACACGGCCGATCGGACACACCTTATCCCATGTGGGCGCGCTCTTTAGGTCCTTAAAGCACATACACAGCCACAAACGAAAACAAAAGAGCTCCCACGACTCACCAGAGTAGTGAGCAATTACAAACGTTTAACAATAGAGAACGTTAGAGTCGTCGAAAGGGCTGCTGAAATTTTTGGGGAACAAAAAATATGAGCTTCACGACGCACCAAGAGTAA